ACAAGCACGTCGCTTTCCTTCGTCGCAAGAAGAGGCTCTTTCATTAGTTATTTTATAAAAGCTGGAAATAAGCTGGAAACCACTCCGCTTCGCGTCGTGGTTTCCTACGCTTATCTCGTGTTCTCCCAACCTCCCGCGTGTTTACATCAGGCTATATAAACACGGAAACCATTTTACATTTCTTCACTCTCAGTCCTCTTGATGCTGTTTGCAAAAATAAATATTCAGATAAAATGTTCACAAAAATCGAGGATTGTTAAGGACGCGGTTTTGTGTCGTGACAATGGATAAACTTGTTTAATAACCAGCCCTAAGGGTTTTTAGGGGAGATTCTATGCCTGGAACTTTTTCTATACAATTAACGTGGGAAATTTTTGCAGGTTAAAGTATAAAGTGCATGCACAGACACAAAAAACACTAGCAATAGTAAAAATTCTTCTTGCTCTCGAAGGCTTCAGTAATTAAGTTTCCGATAGAATTTGCTGTGAGTTATATACAGCAAAGGTGTTGTTTCATCTAAAAGGATTACCAACCGTTAGCGGCTTGGTCAAAGGAATTGAAAAAGCCAGTGGGTTCAGTAGATGAACAAATGATACCTGATGTTGCCGGTCGAATGCTAAAAAAAGGAAAAGAACAATAAGACAAAGGCCTAAAAACGCCCTAGAGAAAAAGAAAACTACCAATCTCGCAGAGAGAGAGGTAAAAAAGATAAAACTGAAAATGTTTGAGTCATAATATCTATTAATCATAGTGGACGAAAAAATAGGCGTAATTTGTTTAGGAAGCTTTCCAAGGAAAAAACGGAAATACTGTGTAACCACGAATGTGTAAAGAAAAAAAAACCAATCTTAATTATTCCTCTCATGTTATTTTAAAACTCAAATTCTGATAAAAGAAACTAGTGTTTCATCAGGCCGACGATTTCCACTAAAATAAATTTTTCTAACTCTCGCTCCCAAAAATTCCATTTGTTAAATTTATTTTCGCTTTCTAAAACATCTCCAAATTACAACATGCCGAAAATTTTAAATCCTTTTCGTGTTAAGAAAGCATTTTCCACTTATTCTCTTGGGAACCTTCTTTTTCTAATTTAAAAAAGGTCACAAAATCAGAGCAAGCAAGATCCTCGTAGACACAATAGAACACATATTTGAAGTCTGTTGTGCGTCCCAGTCGATAGGACCTGGAGAAGAGGCAGGATTTTCATCATGGCGGACGGAAAACCCTGGTTCTACACGATACGAAAACACAGAAAGAAATCAATTGCTGCTGCCCTGTTTGCAGGATGGTTGATGAGTTACGGAGCTAATAAGTACAGGCAAGATTTTGTCGGCTTAAAATTAAGATAGAACAGAATCAATTTCTTTGTACATGTATCATTTAATTGGAGATCGTGAAATCCTTGGCTTACGCAAAAACGAAGGATTTTCGAGATATTTGGAAGGATTCTTTATATCCTTTGTTATTTTACTGTTGTTTTGTTGCTTGGACTTTGGCATGTTTGAAATTCAACAAACAATGGGCCCTTTAGAATGATATGCATCGTATTTCTCCTTACGATATCTTTTTTGAATGAGGGAAATTATCACCATCTGAAGAAGCTCTTGATTGTTGAATAAATTCTCCTTGTGAGCACCATAGGAAATGTAAAGACAGTATGGAGAATATGGATACTGATGTTAGGGTGTGAAAGGTTAATGCTGTAAGACAGACACTTCTCAGTATTGAGAATAACTATGAAGATCAAGCACCTGAGTATTACTATTTTTGGAGAGGAAAGAGAGCTAATTTTTTAAACTTAATTTTTTTTCTGGCAGAGAGTACATGATAAGAAGAGAACTATGCCATGAAGCAAAAGTAAGTTATGTCTTCAGAGTTTGTTTGTTGATGAAAATTGGAGGACATTGGTTTTCCAGATCCTCTTAAGACTGTCTGTATCACAGGGTGGAATAATGACAAAATCAACTTTCAATAATTATTAAATATTGTAAGAAATTGTTTGATCATGTCTTTAGAGTTTTTTTGTTGATGAAAATGGGAGAGCATTGATTGGTTTTCCAAACCCTTTAGAGGCTCTCTGTATCTTAGGGGTGGGAAAATAACAAAATAAATTGTCAAAATTCATTTAGTCTTAGTAAAAATTGTTTAATGGGTATATCAATGGTCTTCAGATATTTCTTTTTAGCAATTGCCCATGTTGGGTAGCACTATGATAGCAAATTATCATGGATCCAAGTTATATCACCCTCTCACCAGGAAGTCATTATTTTCAAGAAAACTATTCACTGGAAAATGTTATCAACTTGTTGTGTTTTCTTCTTTTTCAACAGGCTTTTGGTGACAAAACATTGCCATCATTAAGAAAACCCAGAAGATTGACCTTGGTTTTCAATCCAGCATCTGGCAGGTATTAGCCTGCAATGCAGGTGTCTTATTAATGCAAGTTAACATTGAGAAGTGAGGAATTGTTCATTCAATCAGCCATGTTTGATTTTGAATCAGAGTCAACAGTGGGGGAGGGGCACACCCCCTTTCACTGTCATTAATAACAAAGATGGTGGCCATAATCCTCGCTTAATAAACACTGAGCACTGGCTTGTCAAAATTACCCCTGCTCTGCAGGCTAGGGAGGTATTTTGTTACACATCCTAAGTGTACACAATAAAGTAGCATGGAGTAACAGGTGCTAGGCTTCATTTCTATAAGAAATACATAGAGATACTTATATCATTTATTTGGAAGGGTCATGTTGAAAAAGGCAGCACCAGATTGTTATGGACCTTTACAATGATGATACTAACTAGCAATAAAAGCTTGCTAAAAAATTGTTAAGAAAAATACTGGGACATAAAATTTGAGTTTACATGCAATTGAAATATTGATTTAAATAGATACAAAGTTGTCAATGTCTTTGTTCAAATTGGTACAAGTTCCTTTGGAGATACTAATTTGATTGGCTTCTTTTCCTCTTTTCAAAGTTTTATTGAACTAATCTTTACTCACCAAATTTTGAGTACTGCTATTTTAAAGGCCATTCCAAGCAATAGAATTTCTAAAAAAATCAAGATTGTCTACATAATTCAATATTTGTTTGTCTCATGTTCAGTAAGTTACCTCTCCTACTAGATTTACATGTTTCAAAATGAGAAATCAAAATTGTTGCCTGTAAAGTATAATGATGTAACATATTAGTTTATGCAAGCTGTCTGGAAAATATACGTTGATTGTACATATCAATGTGCTTTGTCTTCTAACGCTACACATTCCAATAAAATATGATTGTTTCCCTTTAGTGGTAGTGCAGAGACTTTGTTGAAGAAAAATGCAGAACCAATTCTTCATATAGCAGGGCTTGATGTTACCATTGTCAAGGTAATTGATTTCTCACTCATTTTAACCTCTTACACCTTACAAAACAAAAAATTAGTTTGCATATTCTCCATACTGTTCCTTACACATTCTCTTAGATGCTGACAAGGAGAATTTGTTTACCTGCAGTAGTAACAAAGTGTATTCATTTGTACAATTATAAGATTCTGATCCTTAAGAAAGAGGTAGATTTTTATACTATTCATGGTTTTTGTTCTCAGACAGATTACGAAGGACAAATTAAAACCCTGATGCAGTACATTGATCCAAAAACAGATGGTATTATTGTTGCTGGAGGAGATGGCACACTACTTGAGGTCAGCTAATCAACTTATTGATACTTTTTTTATTCTATGAACATGAAATATTGGATACCCAGTGTACAAAGACACAGGGAGACCAGGTGACCTAACAGTTGGTGTTCTGGACTCCAAGTCGAGAGGTCCAGGTTTGGATGGGCCACTTTGCTTGAGTGCAGATGTAATCTTCTGTACAAAAGCAGAAGAATGCCTACTCACAGGTTACTTTTGAGAAAGATATATTTATTAGAAAAAGAGGTTTTAATGAGAATGTAACATACATTATTCAATGAAAAATTGTTTCTGTCCAACAATTTCTTGCTTGGTTATTTCTCAAGGTTGTGACTGGACTGCTCAGAAGAAGTGATCAGGTTGGTTGTTGTCAAACAGTGGAATATAAATCATGATATTTCAATTTTTATGTTTGTAAAACTTGAACTTGTACTTATTTATAGGTGTGTTATTTCTAGGAAGAAATTTCCAAGATTCCTATCGGAGTGATTCCTCTTGGAGCACATAATTCTCTCTGTAACAGGATATTTGCAAACAAAGATGCTACAGAAGCTAGGTAAGGAACTGTTAGCAGTTAAACCCAATTTGTGTGCAGTTATTGTTGTTGTTGTCCTGTGCTTGTTATAATATTACCGGTAGTTATATTTGAGCATGAAACATTCAAACCTTTGAAAACTCATAAGATCCCATTCATAACTCTTTTCTCTGGGTACCTACTGTGTTTTTTTTTAATTTAGCAAGGAGAATTTGATGTTCAATCAAAGTTATGATGATGTGAGTGATAAGTTTGTCTACAGGGTTTGTAAAGGTCCTAGAAAACCAGGAAAATTCTGGAATTTTATTTTTACATTAAGGTGAAATTTGGAGTCATGGAGAAAATTGGTCTGAGTCCTGGAAAAGTCCTTTAAATTTGTTTATGAAATAGGGTACAAACTATGTGTCTATACTTGTTAACTTTTGGTACAGTAGCCTGTTCCAGACATCCAGAATGGAAACAAGGCATAATTAGTAATAATAAATATTGCAAAAGTAGCAGGGTCTGGTTGTGTAGTGGACCTGAGCCAAACCTATCATGCTTTTTCACTCCACTATTTCTATTGTGCTGATTGCCTGGAACAGGATTTTACCAAGATAATTTATTTATATTAAACATTAAGTGTTCCATTTTTTTACAGGAGGATTGGAAATGCAACATTGGGAATTGTTAAGGGATATGTTAAACCAATAGATGTCATGGAAATTAAGGTTGAGTTACAATAAAAATTTTGTAAATTCTTGTTGACATCATCAAAAAGTGATTATTATAACAATACTGTTGTGTTTGTGCTCCTGTTAAGGGTGGTGAAGGTCGTTCCACATTTGCTATGTCCAAGCTCCATTGGGGTGCTTTTAGAGATGCCAATGAAAAGGAAGATAAGTGAGTTGTTTCAGGATATTCATTACAGTTTCTTTTGAGCATGTTTCTCTGTCATTGTAAACTTGAGTGTTGGTGTCTTTCACGGCATTTATGAATAACAAAAATTGACTTCATCCCTTGTTTGATAAGGATGGGTATCTGTGATCAGGTGTTCTTTGGGCAGGACATGAAATAGTAGCAATGCTATTATGCTCCTGCCCAAAAAAAAAAGGGCCAGATTACAGGTGTTATAAAGCAGTTTTTTATGTGTGATCAGTCTCTTTTCAATTATTTGAGGAAGATTTTGGATCGTGGGCCCATTCAGAAGAAAACTTTCCTATCTTGTGGCAGCTGTGAAGGTATGTTCAGTCTTTGTTTCTCTCCATTTTTCTAACGTTTGCTTCTAACTGAGACAGGAGAGTAATTTTTTTTGCCTTAACCATGTAACTTACAAAGGAGATTAACTTGTAACTTCCGCAAATTTCAAAATGAAATTCTCTAGCACACCTGTGGTGGGAACATAGTCAGATGAACTTATAAACAAGAGGGTGTTTTCTTGATGTAACAATTAATTCCCTTTAACCCTTTAAGTCCCAAGATCTGATGGCTTGCACCATCACTGCTCCCCCCAAACTTAGGAATTTGAGGGTGAGAATTTCATTTTATGTTTTTTTTAAAGTTTCTTTTTTTCATGCAGGACTGGCCCCCTTTCATTGATACAATACTTTCATACCCAACAACATCAACAGAGGTTTCATCAGACTCACAGCAAGGGGTTATGCCCCATGGTTTTGCAACCACCAACTGTGAGAGCCTCAACCAGGCACCACAAAGGTATCTTGATGATGAAAAAAGCTGCGACACCATCAGTGATGGATGGATTACCAATCCCATCCAAACATTTGGCTTGTCTGTGGAGCCATTCAGGACAGAAGACTACTTGGTATGAGAAATTCTTGGAATGCCTTGGTGATTTTATACTCAAGAAGAAAATGCAAACTATTACCTAAGTCTGTTAGTATTGTTAAGTTGTGTGAGCCATAATAATATTAACACTTTCATTTGTGGGTCAATTTTGCAGACCACTGATGGTTTCCTCAGAGTAGATGTCTGGCCATCAGATCTCAGTAAGACCGAGTTTATTCAGAGTGGGTAGGTTATATAAAAAACATTTTAATGTTTTGAACCCTTTATAACTCCCAGAAGTGATTAACAATCATGTAATTTCTCCCTATAATATCCATGTTATCCAGAAAACAGGTTACGAGAATGCTCAAACTTATTGGGTAGAAGTTGTTATCTTGATTGAACACCAAACTCTTTTAACTGATTTACAAGGAAAAGTGTACTCGATGGAGGGGAGAATTAACATTCAGATCTTGGGAGTTAAAGGGTTAACAGCTCAATGTGTAACCAAGTCTCAGTTGGTTTTAGCTTGGGATCTGATTGGTGAAAAGAGTGGCATAAGTTTTTCAGACAAATCACATACAGAACTCAATGAATTTAAATTGACCATCCTAGAATTTCCTAGACATCCAATATGAAATTGCTGTGAAAAATTAATAAGTTACCAGGTGTCGAAATCAGACATTATTTGATTAAATTGATGATTAAGAGATTGCCTCTTGACCAGGACATTTTTTTTCTTTCAATCTGAAAGGTGGAAGATGGAGAAAGAAGAAAAACAACAAAAGTTCCAGATGACTGACTCACCAAGTAATAGTTTGTGTGTAGTTATCAGTAATTGATACATTTACCATGTAATGATGAAAATGATTAGGTATTAAATACGAATAAAATAAATGGTTTCACTTAGATATGGCATTTCTCTTCGAGTCTAAAACTCGATATCTCATGAGTGGCAGGAAAGGCAAGTGATGTGTCAGCAGCTGATTGGTGATATCAAACACATGAAAAAAATATTGTAATTTTTCACGTGTGCTGTTACAGTTTCTATCAGGCTGGAAATCCTTGTAAAACACTTCAGTTTTTATAATAAATATTGTTAGGTTACTTCTTATACTAAAATTTTCTATTTCAGGATGCAAATCCCTGAAGTTAAAACAGCTAAAACTGGAGCCAAAGGATGAAAAGGTACACATAGTTTCACTTTCAGATAGTGTTGACCACTTGTCTGTGAAATAATCCATTGACTAGGCAACTCTTTTGGCTAACATGAGCTATCTAATATTTCCTTCATTCTTCATAGACGTCATGGTTTTCAATTGATGGGGAGCCATTTGAAGCAAGAGCAATAACAATAACACTTCTTCCAAACAAGCTTCAAGTCTTCTTCAATCCACACAAAATTCTTGAAAGTTGAGCTGTTGTGTTTGTAGCAGATGTGCTTAGTGAAGAAGACATTACATCACTGAATGGTCAAGACTGAATGCTTTCCTGTTGTCAAATTTTATTGTTAATAAATAAATGTAAATTGGTATTCTGAAAAGAACTTTCCATTAAATGAACATTGTTACGGAAAAGAGTGGCACTGATAAATGTAGCAAAATAATGTAAGGCATTCTCTGGAGTAAAACTTGACTTCACTACTAATCATAAACTCCCTTAAATTGGTCTAAAAACACAATTTTAGCAAACATCAAGGGGCTGACCTTTTGTAAAGCTCTGGCAGAAACTCCCAAAGCTGTTGTCTGTCTTTGTGTCTTATGTCACATTTATCTTTTTAGTTATTACATTTGATTTATTTTGTTCTTATCTCTTGTTACATACACCTTATTTGATGGTGTAAGATAGAGCATGCCCATGAGTTGCAGACAGAACTTGAAAAATATGGGCAATGAGCAAAATATCTGTATGTATTAAATGTTAAACCATCAACTAAGGGATTCATTCTTTCACAAAACCATTTATTACCAGTAAGTGTCCTTCATGAGGAACAAAAGAGATCAGTTTCACTTAAATGTTTGTCATTCAAAAAGTGAAGCCGAAAGGATTAAAACAAATTAAAGTTAGGATCGTTTGTTGGTGTGGCCATTTGGTGACTCTCCTTTCCATCTGTGTTTTTTCATCTGCATTTTTGCTGTTTTACAGTGTAATGCTGTTTCCCTTACACAGTACAATGGCATAATAGTATAAATTAAATAAAATTAGTTATTGATTAGCATGGTTCCTGCCATTGACCAGAAGCACAAATTTAATTTAGCCTAGGCCATTCCAAAACCAATGGTATCAGTTATGCACCAAACTAGTATTTTTTTAACACAACAATCAACTGAGTAACTAATTACAAAAGTTTTTATTTCAATAATAGTAGTAATAACAATAAGTCCTACAATTCTGCATGGCTTAATCTTGGACCTCTTCTTTTCTTTTTCTCTTTTTTCTTTTTGTTAGAAGTCTTCTCTTTACTCTGACCATCTTTCAAACCCTGAAATTTAATGAAAACATGTTACATCATGATTGTAGATATATAACAATCATATATGTGCACTGTGGTGAAGAAACGAATATAAGAGATCTTTGCAGCTATGAACACTACTGAACTAGTAGTTGAAACAAGACCTGAAAAAAATTCAGGCCCATACTGTATTTGAACCCATGACCTCTGCGGTACCGGTGCAGCACTCTACCAACTGAGCTAACAAGCCAACTGGGAGCTGGTCATTATGTTGGATCCAAATAACCCATCCAAGTGATGAAATAATGATTGTGCATAGCAGTGAAGAAACGAATGTAAGAGATCCTCGCAGCTATGAACACTACTGAACTAGTAGTTGAAATAAGACCTGGAAAAAAAATTCAGGCAGTTGGCTTCTTAGCTCAGTTGGTAGAACACTGCACCAGTATTGCAGAGGTCATGGGTTCAAATCCCATACAGGCCTGAATTTTTTTCAGGTCTTATTTCAACTACTAGTTCAGTAGTGTTCATAGCTGTGAGGATCTCTTATATTCGTCATGTTACATCATTTTTTCCATGCCTTGTCTAATTCAAATATAAAAAAAAGAACCTAAAATGAAATTGCAATACCTCTTTGTGTCCAACATGCCTATATGGATTGATGTAGTTTGGATCTCTTGGTACAAGTCTTAACTCTTGTGCCATCTACCATCAAAAACAAGAAACAAACTCATCACTTGGTAGAATAAGACTTTGAATTTTGTTGCACAGGATGCACCACTTCGTAACATGCCACATCTTTAAAATATAACTCACCAAATGTAATAACTTGGAGTCTGTTTCATCATAAATTTGTGTTTCATTGCAAAAGCTTAGACTCCATCTGGCCAGAAGTTCCCATTCTCTGGATTTAGTGTACACCTTAAGGAAATACAATCATGGAACAAAGCATATTTGGATCACTCTTCACCTTCAACTCTGGGTATGTGAAATAGTATGAACAAATAAAAACACATCTTAAATAAACATTAATTCTGGGAAGATATACTGAGAACTTGTACTCAGCCATTTAAATTACCCCCAAAATGCCTTTCTTTGAGCTGCAGAGGCACACTTCTACAGCAAGAGAGGCAAAGGGGGTGTGCTGATTCTGTTTTTAGAAAACTTCGTGCATCTTGTGTACTTTAATCAGTATTTCACACACCACAAATTTCAAAGGAAAAACTTCAAATCTCATTTAACCTTGTCTTTCTGTGAAATTCATGTGTAAACTCAACTCTGTTGAACTCAATCATGTGTCACGTATAAACCTTTTTCTACCCTCAACACTGTGTTGATGGTATGATCTTACCTTGTATGTTATATCAGGTAGTCGCAAAAGAATATCTCCAAACAGGGCAGTATTCTCCAGAACATTTGCTAAAGCTGGAAATAGTAATAAATAAGAGATGCATTTTTGTGGAGCAGCAAAAGTGAGAGAAAAGGAGAAAGCAATATACTTTGGAAAAGCTTTGTCTCTCAGTTCTCTTTCAGTTCAACTCTTTCACTAAGACTCTAACCCCATTTTTGTGTTTATAGATGACTACTAATCAAAAGCCCTTTCTATCAGGGTTACAACCATTTACCTCTGTGTAAGAACCAGTAGAAATCGCTACATTGTTCATTGTTCTGGCAGTGCAGTGAAATCTATTTAATAAGTGAACATCAAAGGATTTTAAATACCTTCTAACTCTGATTTTTCTGTAGGAAATGCTTGTCCAGGTATGTAACTTGATGCTGTTACTTTCACCTTTGCATCTTGTAATACCTGTGAAGCAGAGGATGAAATATTTTACTGTTTGATATAAAAGTTGGAATAAATTCCATTAATTATTTTACACCAGTAATAAAATATAACAGAAGTCATGTTCCTGAAATAAAATGTATTTTAAGAAGCAACAATACTGATTAATAATAGTAATGACAGAAGAGATTGAAATCTTGACCATAGATTTAAAAGAGTTAGAGATATAATCACATAATCCATTGAAAGTTTCTACAAATAACATGAAAAGAATTTTAAAAATAACATGAAAGTTAATATTGAGTCTGAAAAGTTAAACAAGACAATGCATGTGAACCCTTTTAATTAAATCCCACAAGGGACCGGGACAGAATTGCTCCTTACAATATCACTACAATATCAGGCAAAAAGTGATTAGAATAAAAAAAATCAATCAGGGGATTATTAGTTGATTCAGTTGTAAATTCTCTGCACCATCATCATAGGAATTGTATGGCAGACAGTAAGGAGAATTATGTAATGAGATCTTAACCCTTTGACTACCAAAAGTGATTAACAATTGACTTCTCTCTATTGTATGCAAACATTATGCACCAAACAGCTAGTGAGAATACTCAAACTTATCAGGTACAAGATATTATCTTGATTGAACATCAAATTCTCATAACCAATTTAAAAGGAAATGTATAGCCGCTAGAGGAGAGAATTATCAATCAGATCTTAGGAGTTAAAGGGTTAAGAGTGAAAGCTTCTTCCCAATAAGTTTGAGCATTCTCTAGACGCTTGGTGCTCTCCCTTTTGACAGGAATCAAACGTGTAAATATGGGTAAATATAGCCACTTTACTAATAAAATTATAACTTAATCCCTTGAACACTGCATCGTCTCACGCCTTCAAATGGAATTGCATTTCAACGAACAAGGTCTCAAACCAACACTTATTTAACTCTAAAAGTGTTAGCGAATGATATAGTCCATTCAACCTCAGTTGCAATAAAGGAGACCATCCACTCACCGTAAACAATTTTTCAAGAACAATTTCAACCATTTTATATTGTTTGGAGTAGTCATTAAGTTTTAGTATACTCTCTGCAGCGAGAGTTTGCTCTGCGCGTTTTTGCTTAAAAATCGCACGATCTGAAAAGCTTGAGTCAAGGAAACTCGCAAATGCGACTTTAATATTTTAGGCTTGATTCTGATTAAAAGTTACCGCTGTGTTAAAAGGATACAAATTGAGATTTTCGCGTCTTCTTTGTCCGATGATTTATCTTTTGCTGATCTCTCTGTAGTGTTGCTAATTGACTCCTCGTTTGCCAAAACAGAAACTGATGCATACATAACAACGAAAAGGCAATCGAACAAAGAAGGCTTCATGGCTTTGCTCTCCAGAATTACTTCTAAAAACAAAAGATGGCGCTCGTCCACATGGCTGAGCCTCAACTCCAAGTTTTTAGGAACCCTCCCACCCTACCCCTACTGAGTTCTACGTAAAGCTCGCACCCAGGCCAGATCTTCTGCACCAAGGCTTAGAGAGCTCTCATAGTGTTCAAGAATGTTTTAATGTGGGTATCGATTCGTCTGAAAACAATAATAAAGAAATGGCCGAAAGAAATGAATAAACGAGCAAATGAATAACCAAAACATATCTAACTGGTGTCATTTTTTATTACGTTTGTTTGGCAAGCGTAAGAGGCGAAAGGAGCGGGAAGCGCAGCTGAAGGAGCGTGGAAAAAAATGACGCCCGTCGTTAGTTTCGTCGCGCTCTTTCCTGTTTTGCGCACTTCCTCACACTCGCCTCGCACTTAACTGAGCTGGTCTAAAAAACGCAACAAATTGCCGCCTATCGTCTTTTATCTCACTTCTTCTCTCGCTCATGCTCTTTTCACGCTCGCCTCGCGCTTGCATCAGCTTGACTGAAAACATGTAAATCGCGTCTGTCCAGTAGGGTAAGGAAAATTCAATATTTCTGTGGTGAATCACAAACAATTACAACATAATCACCTAACAAAGCCCTCCCTCTCTCTTACAAGACCCGTTTCCGCCTGACAAAAAACCCCCATAGTGAAAAAATTCGAATAAGTAAAGATTTGGTAAAGCATTTGACAATAAAAATCTGCGATAAAATATTATAAAGCATGACACGACGTTTCGACGTTTCCAGAACGTCATTATCAAGTAAACTAAAATAATAAAATCGAGTATATATATAATGAAGCGGTGAATAAATTACAAAGCGTTAAAAGTTAAACAAAGAGTTTGGCCCTAATGGAATCGCTCTGGGTGTTTAAATTGGGCCTTATTGTTCTTATGTACAACATTTCATAAACAAGACAATCCCATTTCGTGCCACATTTTTTGAGCATTCTAAACTGGCTCTCATTGAGTAAGTCAATGTTCCCATGGGCATCTCTCAGGTGGCGACCAATGGCAGAGTATCGATGATCAGCAATGCGTTGAAACAAATGGCGCGTCGTATATCCGACGTAATTTGAATCACACAAATCACATTTAAAACAGTGAAAAAACAAGCTAAAGTAATACTATATAATTGCTATGCTTATCATTCTACCTTAAAAATGTTACACTCTCGGGCTAGATGGTGTTTCAATTTAAAGAAGGCTTGTCTAAAAACTAACCCCCATACCTCCTTCAAATGTCCCGTGTTTTACATTGAAGTAAATGAACATTGAATGAGGCGTCCATAGAGACCGTGTGACAGCAACAAGCAACTAGTAAACAGGAACCTTTTTATTTTGGGGAAGCGTGAAAAGTGTAACAGTGAAAGAAAACGCAGTCAGGAAAGTAGAGAAAAAAGAGACTGTTTGATTAGAGAAATTTGATATATCTGCAAAAAATTATAAATCAACGTTCTAATGCCAACTAGCTAAAAGAGGTAAACAGTATTCATTGATAACAACTACAAGAATCTAATGCACTGGAATGAAAATACATTTTCACACGTACATTTGCGTATTTGTACATATAAGTTATCAGTAAGAGACGAGAAATAACCGTTTTGTGACACACATGCTCTTGTTTTTATTTTAGTATTTGAAAACTAAAAAAAAAATCTTAGAAATAAGCAATGGTCATTTAATGTAAGCTCTACAGCTCAGGTGCTAGTTGTTCTCACTCCAAGTTGCTCAGAGCCATTCTTTCATCTTCTTTTCCCTCTTTTATTCCCAGCTGGTGGCCTCTGAAGTTGAAACTTAGGTTGTGCACTAAATGCCGATGTTCCGGCACCAAATGTGCTGCCCCCAAGGCCTGTCCCAGGGGAGCCAAAAGCCCCTCCTGAGGGGGTCCCTAGAGATGGGGTGCCAAATCCCCCAGTGAGACCAGTAGAGGCCCCAAGTCCGGTGGTCCCTAAAGTACTAGTGCCAAGGGATGACCCAAATGTGCTGGCCCCTGTTAGACTTGTACCACTAAGTCCTGGTGCAGTACCAAATGGGTTACCTAGGGAAGACGTTCCTGTAGCTCCTAAAGATCCTGCTAACCCTGTTGTATTTGTCTGAAGAGTGTTGAGGCCAAATGTTGGAGCTTTTAAACACAAGAGAAAAGCAACATTTGATATCAATGCAGTCATGGTGGGTAAAAGAAATGTTTATGAAGCTACACAGTATTCAAAATACATGGAAAAATTGGGCACAGCATTTTCCAGCTTTACATGTGTACCTCCTGATAATGTGCTCTTTCCACACTGACCAAATACATTATGTAAATATCATGCTACCTCTCCATACCTGCAATATTTGCCGTAGCCACACCCAAGGCTGAGTTATTGGGTAATACCCTGAAAGGGCTGGGGCCAAGTCTAAATTCTGTACCTGATAAATTTTAATAAAAATAAATTATTTATTTTAGAAAAGTTTCCAAGATTCAAACACCCGGGAGAGAAAGTTTTACTTCATTAGTATGTATCACCTATTGACAAAAAATAGTAGTTCAGTGATTTCAGACACTAAAACTGAAAACTTGTCTTTTTTTCTTTTAAGTTCCTCATAACGCTGTTCCAGACCAATGTGGGTCTACATGAGGGTCTGTTTGTAACAAAAAGTTAATAACATAGCCAAAAAAATTTGCAACCTTCAGGGTTATAATTGGCAAATGTAAAAGATGTATCATTTGAACTGAGTAGGTGGCTAAATTAGCTAAAAGACCCTGCTTTGGGGTTTATTAAAAAAGTTGAAGTTTGAAACTCTCCAAGATGTGACTTTGGCATTCTGGGACATATTTGAGTAATTTTTTGAAGCCAGACATTAATGTTAGAATGAGTTAAAAACTACCTATTTTCTGTCTTTGATCACAATTAATGAAGTGACAAGTGCAATGGTCAGACAGGTGGTGGATTTCCCCTGCCTTCAGGCTTCTTATGACAACAGTGAACTGTATGTGCCTAACACTTACCAGTCTTTGATAAATCCTTTGAACCGTATGAAAAAATATCTGTACTGTCTTTAAAGTAAGCTCTTCTGTAGTTAAGGTAGTGTTCTTTTTGCATCTGTAAGAAATTTAAAAATATCAAATGTTTGACACAGGAGTAGAATTAGAGTTGTTGTTACCCTAGTTGTCTTTCAGTCTGAGAGACAGAGAACAGATAAAAAAGATCATAGAAAACAGGACAATTAAAATGTGGCTGAACTTTCCTCATTAGCTGTTTTTATCTACAACAAATTGTGGCATGAGCCACCTACCAATATGACAGATCAATAACACATGACATTTGGCTTGAAATTTGTACCTTCACAGCTTCATGGATTTCATGTAGTTTGGCTGCTAAAGCAATAAATGTTTCATGCACTTTGTGCATAACCTCAGAAAGATCTGAGTAAACAAAACATAACAAAACAGAAAACACAACTTAGTATTTCTACTTGCAAACATGACCAAAATGGTAAAACATTCAAGTGGTAAGTGTTATTATTCAGAAAAGTACAGAGACCAATATTTAGGATGATACAGTGACACCTACATTGCAGCCCTGCAAGTTATGACCACTTTCAATGGTTTTAATGACCAGCAGAGAAAAGCAGTGGCAACTAACGTTGCGGCAAGATTTAAAGTTTGTATAACTTCAGCAGAAGTGCAGCAACTGTCTGCAAACAACACTATATATAACGCTCTGTTCTGTGTTTTGTGAAAATTGCCTCTGATTATCCAATTATTATGTATTAAGATGTTTTGTGAACCTCCAAAACAACTTTTTCTGACATCTAAAATTTCAATCCTTGATGGCCATTTTATGATTGGCATTCCTCAAAAGGCAATTTTGAAAGAATTTGAGGTCATAGCCCTGTGTTGTACAAGTGAGCAAGGGTTTCAAAATTTTCTGTAGAAAGCATCAGACTGCAGAAGTAGGTGACGGTGAAATGTGTGATATGGACCAAAAGGTAATTGTTTTGTCCAGAGTGACCGGTGATATGTTATTAAGTAGCCAGTGGAACTCCAGCGGCAGCCAGCTTGTTTGAAACCCCTGAGTGACTATAGTTGAACTTCAATTATCCGGACTCATTGGGACTAAATGAAATAGTCTGGATGATCTAGGGTCCAGATAATCAAGAAAATGAATATTATTGAGGAACAAAGACTGATTACACTAAGAAAGCAACATTTAATCGTAAAACAAAACATTTACAAATCAAGGACATGATAACATATTCGTGACACTGCGAGACTTGTTTATCTTGCATACCATGCCAAACAAGCCAATAACAAAGCAAATCTAAGCCAACCAGACATCATTCAAAAGTTCTTCATTAGTTATGACACATACAAGTGCTGCTTTTGCTTTTTGAAAGTGAAACAACATGCCCATACTTCACTTTTCAACACTATAGTTTCAAAGAATATGGCCACGGATCTTGATCGTGACAAATAAATATTCATGACAAAATTGGGATCAGAGAAAAAGTCAGGATAATCTAGAAATCTGGATAATCAAGATCGGGATAATCAAGGTTCCACTGTACAAAGAGATCCTCTGTTGACATGCTCAATACACACCTTGTGGGGTCAATGTTTGCCCTTGGGATATGGAAGCAAGATGGCTCTCCATAATCTCAATCTGTATCCTGTACATCAACATCCTTTGTTCAAATGACTCTACCAAGCGTTGAAAGTACTCCTGAGGTGCCACATTCTCATGTTGCAAGGGTTGAGGAATATCATTGGTTCTTTGTGCAATTTCAGCATTTTTCAGCTCCTAAATATCAAATCAAAGTTTTGTTTTCCCAAGTTCATTTTTAAAAACAAGGAGTGAAAGCCATAACAAAAAAATTGCCCATGTTTTGCCATCTACCTCAGTGTTAAGAGAAGACTATGTCGACAAACATATGGGACAAACTCCAACGATAAATATCTAGCAAAAATCCTCGCAAACTCTGGGTGCTTAGATAAGGGTCTGTAAGCACAGTTAACTTTCTCTTTTGCCTAAAAGCAAAGAAACTCACCTTGGATACATCAATTTTGAGGTTTTCCACGGAACATCCATCTCGCTGAATACTGTTGGACACCAAGGCTAGAGCCTGTCTTAAGGCAATGGTTTCCTCTCTTACTTTATCTAATAAACTCCCTGATGCTCTGGAAATCTCATCTTTGTGTTCCTTTTGTTCTTTGACGTATTTTCTATGACAAAAACAAACAGCAATTAAGGTGCTTGAAATGTTAACTCCTCTGCCAGTCAACTATGCAAAATCCCAAAAGCTGTGAAGATATGAATTTCAAATACTAGTGATCTATCATAGTGATGGATAGCTCTTACCACAAATTAATATTGCTGCAGATGAACAGAGGATGACAAAATGTTAGCCAGATTTTTTTTGTGTTATATGGTAAGACAATCCACTCTCATTATGCTCCTCTCTACCCAGGAGTATGGATTGGTACCATTTAATCCTGAATGTTACTTCTCCCTACTAGCTGCTACACATTTCTGTGTTAATTAGTTATAAGAATTTTGTGGTAGATCAAGAAAACAACTTTTACCTGATAAGTTTGAGTACATCCACTCCCTGTTTTCTGAATGTTATTCGGATATTTTAGGGAGAAGTTAAATGTTGGGGAACTCTTGCAAGACTGCTAAGGGTTATCTTGAATGGACAAGAATTTTATACAAGAAAGAGTCACAAAACCATACTGGGCTTGGGAACTTCAAGCTTTAGAAATTCAGGTTACCTTTTGCAAAATGAAAAACAAAGCATCAAACTTAACCATTCTTTTAATATAGTTGATGTTATTACTGTTATCCTTGTAACTATGATTGAGACTTAATTAAATGACAGACACAGGCATCACATTGATGAAGTGTCCCTGAAACTTACTTGATGTGCTCTGCAATTTCATTCAAAGTATTAGGCAAAGGTGTATCTTTTACATCACTGAAACAAAATTTAAAAAGAGATCACTGATTTAATTCCTGAGTAAGCATGTCCCATCACATATCACCTAACAGTACCAGATTGAGAGATTACTTCCTTTCAAAATTGGGCATATTCAAATTACCATCAAGAGAAAGACTCAAACCTTACAGATGGTTCACACATTCCAATAAGCTTCCCCCTCTCTGGTAAGCATGTTTAATTTTTGTTAAGTGCCCCTGTTGCACAAGCACCCTCATTCCAATAAGCGTCCCTATTCTGTTTTTGTAAAAGCACAGCTAACAGTACACTCCCTACCATTATTATACAAATATTCACTGTGCATTTTTAAATTAAATTTCAGGGCGTGAAATTAATTTTTTTTTTCTGATAGCCACTTGGCTCCTAAATTCTTCAAAGTGGTAGCTAATTCAAAAAGAGGTGGTCGCCATTTTCAAAGACAAACAAAACCTTTTTTTACACTGTCAACGTTCTAAATAGACCCTCCAAAATTAATTTAGGGAAAAGATCTAACGTTCTGAAAAGTGGACACTAGGATGGATGATATACAATGTTCAAGCTCACCTAAATCCAAGATGGCATCTAGTTATCGATTGAGATGCGTGTGCTGAGTTTTGGAAACATACTTAACAAGGAAGTTTGCCACGGATTTATCTTTGCAAATCTTTTTGATTCACTATGTCTCTCGGTATGGTTGTGATGAACATTCTAGTCGCCAATTTGGCAACTAATTTTCAAGATTTGGTCGCCAAATTGAAAAACGCATTGGTGCCTGTATTAGGTGCAATTTCACGCCCTGAATTTACAGTTTACAAATAAACATCAAAGCTTTGTTTCTCACATTCTGTTGTTTCTTAATCCTTTAACCCCTATGAGTGACTAACATCTACTTTCTCCCTATAACATCACTCCTGAGTGAAAGATTAAGGTCATGAGAACAAAGGAGATGATCACCAACTTAAGAAGCTCTTGATGGTTGAACAAATTCTCCTTGTCAGCACCTTAGGAAATGTTTAGGGAGCAGTGTGGAGAATATGCATATTGACATTAGGGAGTAATGGGTTAAAAAAGAAATAAGCACCCTGTCTCTAGTAAGAACCCTGTTTTGAATAAGCTCATTGCAGTAATGACTATTTTGAAAAAAGATAATCCCTGAAGCTAGGTAACATGATCTGTATACATGTACTAGGAAAGATAAGATCTGAAACTTGGTTAAATTTAGATATTGTCAACTTACCCCTCTCTCCCTGTGACACCACCGACTGTGCCGGTGACTCCACCACTAGTGCTTGTGCCAGTCCCACCTAAGCCAGTTAGGGTGGTTGAGGCTACAGTACTTGTAGCCACTGTAGTTTTTACTGCACTTAAACCTGTAAATGTACCAATACCTGTGCTACTACCCAGTCCTAACCCAACACCAGTTGAAGAAGTTCCAAGCAATGTTGTTTTGGTTGTCGTTGCAGTGTTTCCTTTAAACAGACTACTCCCCAGATTAAGTCCTGTTGTTGCAGCAGACGCCGGTGTTGCCCCTAAGGTAAAACCAGTACTTTGCCCTAATTGGCTGGTTTGTCCAAATGTTCCCAAGGTAGAAGCTGTTGGCGCGGTTTTCGCTGCGCTAAATACAGAAAAATTTGCTGTTGAAGGGGCGCCTACAGAACCAAATTTGAATCCAGAAGTGGCCCCAGTAGAAGCGGCCGTTGATTGACCAAACGGCGTGCTCATGGTCGATGAAGTAATAGAAGCTCCGAAGGGTTTAATAGCGGAAAATCCGGTTCCACCTACCGAAGTGCCGGTCGAAGTACCAGTACCAAAACTTAGTGTTCCAGTGGTACCGCTTCCGAAAGAGAAACCTGTCGAACCGCTGCCAAAAAGACCTCCAGTTGTGGCCGCCGCCATTTTGATTTTGATTTCCTGGAGACAATTGCATTCGATACATCAGCCAATCAGAACGCTTGTTATAAAATTCATCAATTGCATCACGGGATTGCAGCTGTACCATTCAACATGGCGGCCGGCGGAGGTTGGGTAACTGAAGCGATTGGAACTCTGGAAATTTAGGTAGAAATATAAATTTCCTAAAAGATCCGAGGAGTACGATTAAAGGAGGAATTCTTCGTATCGGGGATGGATCTAATAAAGACACCAAAGGTAAATAAAGGTGACGTCCACACTTAGAAATAGATCCAATTTCGGCATCGATCACATGACCGGCATTTATGCAGCCTTCAGCCCATTTTATCCATCCAAAGAAGAATACTTTTATCTAAAAGTTTTGGAAAATACTGGAAAAGTGTTTTTAGCCTGATTTAATTTCGAGAGATTGGAAGAAATCAAGCCGAAGATTGACAAGTTCTCGTTGATTTTCTTATTTTTCCTCCTCACGCAACTTGTTTCACATGAATACATCTAAATTTTGTCTGCATATTACTCAGACACTGATATTGAATAACATTCTGGTGAAGCGTAAGTTGCTTTTTTTAACCGTTAAGACATCAGAATGCCTTTTTTTGGCTCCTTGATCTACTACATACTGAAACAAAATTAGAGTTTCCTGAGATACATCTTCTATTGTACAATCCTTCCTTCAGAAATAGACGTTAATTTATTGAACAATAATTAATACAAGATAAATAACAGTGGACGAGACTATAAGTAGGCAGCTGCAAGAACCAGAAATAGGGCTCCCTATCAGAGTTTTTGGTGAGATTTCTCTATAGCCCTATACTTCATCGTGACTGCAGTTCTTGGATGAAGAAGACAATGGAAAAAACAACAGATTGTCTTTGGCATAACAAGACTGTGTTTTACAATGGTATAGGGTTGTGGAGAAATCTTACTGAGTTTTTCATAAATTGGGTTTTATGTAGATAGATAACTTTATTTCTGCACAGTAAAATCCTTCAGCACAATCTAAGAGTATGGAATATCAAATTCTGCCAAGCTAAACAAACTAATAATTAATGCAATATGATAGGAATAAAACTGATTAATTCCAGCTGCTTTTTGAGGATGCTGTGTTTCATTCAAAAGCTATAATGCCACATAATACTTTTAAATTCAATTTAAAAAAATTTTGATCTGAGTTCATGGAAAAGACTGTTCCACAACAAAGCACCCCTATGGGAAATCTTCTCTTCAATAATGTTGTGATGAAAACAGCAATGAATGATTTGAAACCTGTTTTTCTCATCTAAGAATAATAATAAATGTCTTTATTGCTCATTAGATAAAAATACATATCTAATGTTACAGGATAAAAGATTCAAGGTTCAGCCAAAAATTAAAATACAAGAAAAAGAATAAAAAGATCAAACTAGATACAATATATCTGGCATAAAATATCATAAAAGGTTGTATTTATAAATTAATCTATTTACAAATGTGTTCTTAAAACCTGCAGTGTTTATATTAGGCCATTGGCAGCTTTTATGTAGGTTAAATTGTTCTTTTCTTGCCATAAGCAAACCTTCAGAGGCTGGTTTTCATGCTGTTGAACTATTGTAAGAATTTGTTACTCTTTTCCTGTTACATAGATTGAAAATGTCCGTTTAATGACAAAGAATGGAAAAAGGAAGGTTGCAGTGGGTAATTTATACCTTACAGCTACTCATCTAATATTTGTTGATCCAGATTGCTCCAAAGAAACATGGGTAAGTTAGAACTTGGCACATTGGAAAAGGGAATGTAAAAATTAACTTTTTTACAAACCCTTCATCCCCTCCCCCCTTCCCTCCTTGCTCACCAGCTCTTCTCAAAACAAACAAACTAAAAGACTTTCAATCATATGACATTTCCATTTATAAGTAATATTTAATGTGCCGAGCAAAAGAATGCTTCCTTCAGTTTTTAACATACCTGCCTTAGAATGATGTGATTGTGTTAAAATTTACTTTAAATCCTGTTTGTATTTGTTAGCTATGTGGCTTTCAGGCTCAATTTCTTCAATTGCGTTATTTAACTCTTCAACTCCCAAGATCTGATTGATAATTCTCATCTCTAACTGCTACACATTTCCTTGTAAATTAGTTACGAGAACTTGGTGCTAGATCAAGATAGCAGCTTCTACCTGATAAGTTTGAACATTCTCATTACCTGTTTGCTGAATAATGTATGGATACTATAAGGCAAAGTTTCATGTTAATCACTTGTGGGAGTTAAAGAGTTAAAGGTTTCCTGTGAGGATAATTTCTTGAATTACATAATTTAACATCTGTATCAAAATATACTTTGTTACATTTAATTGTGATCATGTACATGTATTCTCAAATGTGTTTTATTTCTATAGATTCTACATTCCCACATTGCATCAGTGGAGAAGCTTCCTCTCACAGCAGCAGGATCACCTTTGAAGATTCGCTGCAAGACATTCTTGATTGTGACATTTGTAGTTTCAAGAGACAGAGATGGCCAGGAAATTTACACTTCATTGTTACAACTATCTAAACCAGGTAAAGTATGGTAAAAAACTCAAACACAATAAAGAAGTTTTAATTTTAGATAAATTTAATTTGAGGAAACTAACAGTAAATTGAATAGCCAATCAGAACAAAGGAATATTTACTAGAAAAAGCCAATCAGAAATTGAAATGGAAATATTTAAACAACCTGATTTGCTAGAAATTTCAGGTGACTAGGTTTGAACCGGATAATTTGGTTTAATCAACTGAGTTGGTAATGTAAATTGGCCACAGTAAAGAGTTTTAGAGCTGATGTTTCAAATGTCTGCTTTAGAAATTCTTTACGGTGGCCAATTTACATTTTCAACTCAGTTGATAAAATCTTTACCCCCTTTATTTAAGTCTGAATTGGTTTTAAGGGGAGTAATCTTCTTAAGAAACTGTGGTACTGCGTCAGTGGGGAAGTATAAAAAGTTAATTTGGTTTTATCAACTGAGTTGACAAAACCAAATTATTTTGAATTGAATATATTTTTGCATGGGATTAGTTTAGAAAGTGGCATATTAAGTGGTGTGCAAACATATGAGGGCCCCACTGAAAACCGCTGTGGTGAGTTGGGCTCCCTTGTTAAATATTATTATTATTATTATTATTATTGTTATTATTATTATTATTATTATTATTATTATTTTAATAACCAGTCACAGAGTGGAGAGTAGCAAATAAATTCAGCACTGGGCTACTAAAATTTAAAATTGTTTGGTAATATATTTTATTATGGCTCTAGGAAGGTCACATTGTCTACAATACTTTTATGCATTGCCAACAAAAAATATGAAACACATGCCTAACTATTGTGGAGCCTGTGGTAATGATAAGATTTCTTTATATAACAGGGTACCATAGCAGTAGTGTTTCTTGTCAAAATGCCAACTCCTGTAAGATTGAAAAAATGTTCAGAGTAGGGTTTGGAGCCAGCATTAACTTCTTAGTGAGCTTTGAAGCTATTTTTGTTTTTAGACTTTGATGGCAGTTAAAAAAAAATAGACTGGGTGAGCAGCAAAGTCCCAAAAGGGATTGAAAGATCTAGTGAATAATGTTGTTTCAATTTCTCTTCATTACAGAGAAACTTGAAGACTTGTATGCCTTCTCTTACAATCCACAAAGTGAGCAGCTGACACGGTCTGCTGGTTGGGCCTTATTTGATATCAAGTCAGAATATGCACGTATGGGACTGCCAAACAATGAATGGTGTTGTAGCCACATAAATAAAGACTACAAAGTAAGACTTTCATCTATCTGTAGACAGTCAGGTCTCTCTTAGTAACCCCTCTCTCTCAAGTATCCCCTCTGTAACCAAAATAGTTTTTTTTTCCTATGTTAATAATGTGCATGAAAAAATTACACACTTCTGATTGGCTGAAAATGAGTGCGTTCTCATGTAACACGAGTGTAAAGTTGTAACAAAAGAGCAAATTACAAATAGTGCAGGCATACTTTCAAAATTTTGTCAGGCTTGACTTTCTTTTGCAATTTGGTGTGATAAGCACATGTAAATTTACTTGTGCTTATAACACCAAATTGTACTTGAAATCATGTTATTACCTATACTAATTACTTTTTTAAACTCTCTCGCTCATAAGTCACCGATTTTTTAATACAGGTCTGTGATACGTATCCAAGTGTTCTATATCTGCCCTCCGCTGCCTCCAACTCAGTTCTCATTGGTAGCTCAAGGTTCCGCAGTCGAGGCAGACTTCCAGCTTTATCTTACCTGTACAGGAATACAAAGGTAGAGGTTAAGCTGATACACTTTCCATAGTCTTTGTGGCAAGCAAATCTTTTTAAGCTCTTTGTAAAGCTTTTCATTTTCAGTAGGAAATGACAAGTTTTGCTAGCATAAATTAATGCCTATAAATTGTCTTTTGAACAAAATTTTGTTTCTTTTTTGTTTAGGCAGCAATCTGCCGCTGTAGTCAACCTCTATCAGGGTTTAACTCCAGATGTCAAGAGGATGAAAATCTAATTCAAGCCATCTCAAAAGCAACACCTGATGCTAAATATGTGTACATTGTGGACACAAGACCAAAGGTATGACAATTTTTTTTAAGTCCCCAGAAAAGTGCAGTGAAACACAGTGGAGTATAATCATATGGAATGTGTGACATAAATGCATCATCATCAACATCATCAATGCTGTTCAAATGAGTCACCTTTATTGTCTTTGCAGATCAATGCCATGGCAAATAAAGCAGCTGGGAAAGGATATGAAAGCACTGATTTTTATGAGAATGTCAAGTTTCAGTTTGTCGGAATTGAAAATATCCATGTTATGAGACAAAGTCTGCAGAAAATGATTGAGTGTAAGTACAGAATGTAAGAAGTCTGCTAGAGCTTGAAATCATCTTCTGTTTGTTAGCCAGAGAGGCTGAGGTTGGAAGGGCCAAGAGGGAACTGGGTTCAAAAAATGCAGCTGGTTGGGGAGGGGTGGGAGGGAGGTGGGGGAAGAAGGGGGGGGCTGGGGAAGGAGAGTGGCAGAGGCTTTTAATAAAGGAATGTTTGGTCAACCACTAGGCTAATTTTCTTCAATTTTTTCAGTGGATAATTTTTAGTCAACTATTAGGCAAGCCCTTCCCAACGCTGTTTATCCTGTGGCCCAGTTTCTACTTCTTTTTTTCATTAAGAGGTGCAGTTGTTACACAAGGCAGGTCAGGGACTTGTAGAGAAAGTCCAGATAGAGGGTCATTTTTTGACAAAAGTCACAGATGGCAGTAGCATTTGGAATAAACTTGGTACCAAAGTTAATGTCCATGAACAATTTATAATCTCTAGTGGTCTGTGAGACACCTGACTTAACAGCCAAAGCTTTAGCCAATGGACTGGACAACTGTGGATGGATGAAACACATCAAAGCTGTGTTGGATACTTCAGTATTTATAGCAAAGGTATTGTTCTGCACCTTTTTGTTTCCACGAAGATTTTTGTACCTTGGCAATTGACTCCACCTTTTGCCGTATGGCTCTTGTCCAAGTTACTGAAAAATGTGTTTAATTTCAGGCTGTTGTAGAGGAGAAGGTCAGTGTTGTTGTTCACTGCAGTGATGGATGGGACAGGACTGCCCAGACTTGTTCTTTAGCAAGTATCATTTTGGATCCCTACTACAGGACAATGCATGGATTTCAGGTACATGTTTCACTCTTAACCCCTTAAGAGTGACTGGCATCTAATTTCTCCTGACCATATCACCCCTGAATCAAACATTGAGGTCAGGGGAATAAAGGAGTTGATCACCGATTATGGAAGCTTTTGATTGTTAGACAAATTTTCCTTATCAGCACCTTAGGAAATGTATAAAGGACAGTGTGGAGAATATGCAGACTGATGTTAGGGTGTAAAGGGTTAAACTCTCAGAGGTGATTAACGTTGTAACTTCTCTCTATAACATCCATACATTATCCAGCAAACAGGTCATAAGTGACGTTCACATTGATAAATAACACAATTATTTGCTTCCAATTCTTTTGGTTTGATTTCAGTTCCATAGATTGTGTTACCCTGTGCTTCTCATTAAACCTCTGACTCTCTTCGTGACTAACGATTAAAAAAGTGGCCGTTTGCGCTGCAACTCTTTAAAAGCTACAATAAAATGTGTCTATTGTTTATGGCAAATACAGGTGTTAATTGAGAAAGAATGGCTTGCATTTGGACACAAGTTCACAGAGAGGTAAGAACAATTTCCATCGGTTACTTACTTATGCTGTTTACATATGTTTACTTGGAGTTCTCATTGGCTCCATGCCTTGTTTTTCGTTCCTCTGATTTAGCGCCTCAAATTTTATTTTCATGACACTCGATCGGAATACATCATATTCCTATCATTCATCCTTCTCTTTTCAGATGTGGCTTTCTTCAATCAGATATTAAGGAGACATCACCGGTGTTTCTCCAGTTCCTGGAAGGAGTGTGGCAATTGCAGGAACAATTTCCGTTTGCCTTCCAGTTTAACGAAAGATTCCTTTTAACTATTCACGATCACCTGTATTCTTGCCAGGTATAAAAAAATCAAATTCCTTACTTTACTTGTAAAACATTTAATATTCAGAGACGTCTAAGTTCAAAGATAACACTCTCAGTTCCTGTGCAACCTGTAAGAAATCGGTGAGGGCGGGGGGAGTTTACTTCTTCGAGATCCTGGCTGGATAGTACCGCCCAGTTCTCCAATTTCTGACTCTATTTCAGACTAAAACATACCGAGCTTTACACCCCTTTTTCAGACCTGCCCTCTATACTCCATACCTGTTTCAGACCTTGCATTATTTCCGAAATAAAAAATTGGTCAAGATTCACCTAGACTACGAATTGTCCCTCCCTATCAGCATGGCCCGTCGTGCGAGTTATACAACAATCAGAGAAGAAATATTGATTTCAGCGCTCTGAAGGGGATTTTACACTATTTCTCGTGCGCCTCACTCCCACAGTTGCGTGCGGCATGCTAACATCAATAATTTTCTGTTTTTGCTAAGTTTTTTGATTCGCGTAACGGACGTCGCCAAAAAGGAGGAACCTCTCGTTGTCTAAAATTCACCCGAAACTCTTTTCCTTTTGAGTAATTTTTGCTACTTTTCTTTCTCTTATGTTCCTTTGGAGTTTTGAAGTTAGTTAAATGCATTAATACGCTCTTAGAGTTTCCTGAAAACCAAACCCAATTGAAGACAATAATGGTTAAATCCCATACCGCTTCTCAAAGCCAAAACAGTATAAAAGCACATCTCTGTGGCAGCACATACCCATCTAACTTAGATCGGGGAGGAACATACTGACTGAGGAAGAGGAACAGTGTCAAAAATCAATTTACGAAAAAATAGGCAAGAGTTCAAACTCTGGAGAAAATATGTATTTAACTTGTTAAATGAACCACAAAAATGGGCTAAAATAAAACTCCCAGACTTCTCTTTTCAACTTGAAGGTAGCTTTTTTAAGCTAGGGCTGGATTTTTTGTGCCCCAAGCCACTGGGATTCAAAGTATTTGATCTGACTGAATTCAGAAGAAAGGGACTCTACTGCATTAGTTGTCTTTTTTCTTTTTTTTTTTTCCCAAACTACTGTCTACTAACTGTTCATCTAATATTTGCAGTTTGGGACATTTCTTGGCAATTGTGAGCGGGAGCGCAAAGAACACAGGTAGGTCATGTAGTGCCGGACATAATTTACGCCCCTACGTAAAGTTGCCTGATAGCGTCCTTGATTACCTTCTAATGGAAATTTCTTTATGGCCTGACAAATCCCATGTACTAAAGAATTTTGTTGTAGAAAGCACTGTACAAATTTCTTTTATTTTTTAACAGTGGTAATATGAAGCAATATGAAGCAATGTGAAGCAAGAGTAAAAAAAATTTATATATTCCGAGTTGAGTCACCACATCATTTTGTCGTTTGCTTTTTTTGCTGCAATTCCTGTTGAAAAGCCTTTTTGTATGGCTCACCATGCGCATGAGCTGAGTCGTTTATACCGCTGGAGCCTTTCCCGGTCTCACCATATAGCGTCCAGAAATAATGTTCCTCTTCCCCCCTCTGTGGATGCTACGTTTCCACTCAGCATTTTGTGAGTTTTTTTTGACAAGTTCTACGTTAGCCATACATACTCTTCAGTGGAGAGAGGCATTGGGTACTTTGGGAAAAATGTCTTGACCTCGGCCGAAAGAACTAGGCTTCTCCTTTCGAAATCTTTTTGTGAGGGCCACTCGTCTATCTACTATCAAGGGAGAGACGGGGGAAGCTGAATCTCGAAGAGCAACACGCCAACACTAAGACTACAGCTTCTCTTAGTCTTGAAGTCGTAGTGCAGGTTGTTTACTCGAAGTCTAACCCAAACCGCGGTTTTACGCAGTCAGTGGGCTTCAGGGTGTCTCTTATGTAGGGGTTGATTTATTAAATAAATATCCTTCCACTTTTAGCTTTCGGCCCTCTTGACACTGCTTACAAAAATTAATGAACCGGGTTCAGTTAAATTGAGGAGTGTTTAGGACGCGGTTTTGTTAAACGACGGCTAAACTTTGTTTGAATGATGAGAACAGAGGGCAATGTTGAGCTACCTCTTAATGTTTCTTTGCAGTTTACCCGAGAAGACGTATTCATTATGGGGCTACATGTGGCAAAATATCAGTGATTATGCCAATCCATTATACATGGGAGGCAAAAACGAGTTACTTTGGCCATCTACTTCGCCTCAAGCTCTCAAGTAAGCTAGAAATGTACACAATTAGTGGTAGAATTCAATAGTAAGTGTGCGTGACAGAATGAACCAAACTTACGTGACCTTCCCTTTTAATGTTTTTCGACTATGGTCTTTACTTGGCCTCACGTCCTCAAGTGAGCCAGAATCGCCGAAAATTGGCGATAAAATAGATAATCATTTTTAAAACAAAGCGTGGCTCTGTGTGACAGAACGAACGAAATTTGCGTGACTTTACCTGTTCATGTTTGTCAACCTCGCCCCAAGCTTTCGAGCTGGTCAAAACTGTAAAATGAGCATCCGCAGAATGGCAAAGCATAAGCAAAGCTTGACCGTGCGTAACCATTCGTGACAATGTGAACCAATTTTTTTGTGGCTCTACCTTTTAATGTTTTTGTTATCTTCGATAGGTTTTGGCGGTCGATGTATAATCGACATGAGAACGACGTTCACCCACGTGAGACAGTCATGGATGCACTCAGCAGTATCATAGATCATAACGATTCACTACAAGATCACATAAAATTTCTCTCGTCTGTAAGTATAGTCTGTGAGCTGAGTTACAGATCCGAATTAGGCATCAAGCCGTACGCATTGCGGATGAAATGTCGATCGTCTTTTGGGTATGGGAGGGGAAGGTAGTAGACGCGCTTTGTGACTTGTGATATCGTCACCATTTTCCAAAATAGCGTTCACACTCGGGCTGTGAAGGAGGAAAACATTTATTTGGAAAGATTCTAGAAGGAGATGGAGCGAATCTTGAAAAAAGGGAAAAAAACGCGAAGATATCTGGGTGACTACTTTCCAATCTCCCCAAGGTGATTGATTATCGGGGGGCTCAATTGTAGTGTCGACTGACTACGAGCAGTCCTTTCTTTTCAGCTAAGTCTGTTCCATCATTCCGAAAAAATCAACTACAAAAAAACTGTGGTTAGCTCGCCGCGCGTCGCGCGGAACAGTGGGAGTTGAGCACAAGAAGTAAAGACTAAGCGAGAGAGTTAACCGCTGTGTTGCGCTCACAACGCACCAATATGATTGACTATCGGCCGGAAATGTCAACAAGCGGTGAGGCCTGTAAAGGCTCGTTAACGCTCCAGAAAAATCATGACTGATGAGCTGCAGGATTGTTCATCGCCGTTTCCGAGAATTCGCTTTTGAAATCTGCCTCACTCCCAGAGTTCCGCGCGCCGAAAAAGAGGGACTGCTCGTAGTCTACTGCAGTGAAGTTTGTTGTACATAAAGATGTTTGTCTTCGCCTCAACAGCGGGTCGAAATGATGAAAACACTGGCCAATCCTACGAGTGACTCTGAAAACAACACCGAAATGATGGATTCACTTGAAATGAAATGTCTCAGTACTCAACGTGAATCGCCTAGTGATTCGTCACAGGAACTAGCGTCTCTTGAGAATTCAGTGAATAGTATGGACCTCAAGACAACACTGAAGAACAATTCATTACTAAACAGTCACGTGAATGACTCATCTTCCTTACCCTTTTTGTCTGCGGGCGAGGCAAGCAGCGCAAGTCAGGAAAGTGGGAGTGGGGGCCTGGTGCCGGATCAGCTGCAGAAAAGTTTAAAACGTCAGGGATTAACAGTAAATGATCTTCTTCAGTCTGCTCCGCCGTTTGCTTTGGAGTGGAAATCAGTTAGAGATGTCTTCCAATGTTCCACCTGCTCGTCTCCGATTGATTCTCTCAGTCGGAAGGTGAGTTGTGTTACCTTGCAATTATTGCAATGTCAGTTGAGTGTCGAAAGCAGTGCTGGATTGCATTAGTTTTTACTTTTCTTGCTCATTTTCTCAACCTATCAGTTACCAAGTGCGACTTGGCCGATCGCATTTTCCGTGCTTCAGGTGGTTTTTTTTAACTTAGAGTTCTCATTGGCTCGTGATGTTTACCTTCGCTCTGATTGGCCGTTAAGAATATTTTGGTTTTGGTTTTACGATACTAACGCGGGAAGCGTTCTTAATTTGTCAAGTCGGAAAAAAATAGCACATCTTGAAAGAGATGTGAAAGAGCCATGTTGCTCATGTCATGCTTAAAAGTTTTCCCACATTTTTCGAGGTTTTTAATTGCCATTGACGAAATGAATTGCTTTGTAAAAGAAAAACTTGAAAACTTTTACCCCATTCACACCAGGAAAACATGTTTAGTTGAAATGTGTTCAACTGAATGAATATCAGAAACAGGGAACTGAAAAACTGAATTTTCCATAGGTTTCAAGAGGTCACTAACCTTTTTTTTAAAGTGCGTAATTTGAAGTCGAAAAAAATGGGCTAAGCAGCTTCTATGAAGAAAAATAATTTAAACCGTGTTTATCTAAGCGTCGTTTAAAACACGTCAAGCTTTGGTGTGAATGAGGTATTAGATGCAAGAATCGTCAATCTGATTATAGTTTCTATTCACTCACTTTTGCAATTCTAACGATGAAATCTTTTCTCCATAGTATCATTGTTGGAATTGTGGAGAAGTTTTTTGTAAGAGGTGCATCGATAAACAGTGTTCCCTTCCTGGACATTATTCAGATAATCGTGTTCCTGTTTGCAAGAAATGTTATAAAGTCCTCAAGAAAATCAAATAGATATTCCGCGCGCGATTACGCGCGAGTGACAGATTTTAGGACACGACGAGAAGGCTGTTCCAGGTTCTCAGTCGGTGAAGACGGGCACACGAAAAACTACAGGCAGCGGGCGCGCGATTGTTGCAGTTGTCAAGGAAACGGCTGCCAGCATGCAATAATGCGTACTTCTTCATTGAATGAAAGTATGCAAAAGGCTGCTAGTTGAGTAGCTAGCATGAAAGTAATTTTAATTTCGAGAAATAGAGACAAGAATTCTTTTTTACATGGACGAATGGTTATAACAGAGAATATACCTTTACACAAGCAATTCTACAAAAATTAATGGTTATCATTGCAAGTTCATTGTACGAAAATATTGATGTTAAAATAAGAAAATTCATTAAAGAAAATTTAATACTGGAGCTCGTCGCATTCAATTTTCTTGGTGATCTGGAAACAATCAAAGCTTAAGGAGGCTAGGTCAAGGTCAGGCGACAATCCCGATTATTTTTCTTGAAAGCGTTTAAGGTAATCCGGAAGTGCTGTGTGATTGGTCTTAAAAACGCGCCCCACTTTCTGAACCAATCAGATTCAAAACCAACTTAGTCACCAGCATTTTCCCGCACTCAGTCGCGTTGAGGTTTGATTACTTTGAGTTCTCATTGGTTACTTTCAATGTTAAGCTTTGAACTGATTGGCTGTGGCAGTTGCTTTGGTCAATTGCTTCGGTACGATACTTGATAGTAAGGCGCTTCATAAATTACTTTTCTATGTAATTTCGTTGAAAAAACGTTATGACAATGTTTGTTAAGTTTTCGTGCGTTATTATTTCTCAAACTCTCTTTAACTTTACTTTTACTTTCCCCTTTCTTGTTATTTGTTAAATGTTTCTTACAAGTTCTTGAACAGGAAGGCGATAATTTAGTCAGTTCCGTAGCGAGTTGCTCTGTCGCAAGTTTGCCTGACCTTTCATTACGAACCTTTCTCTGTAAAGTAGCAAAATTTCGAAAAGTGGTTGATTAAAAATGACTCTGACAGATTCCAAATGCAGGTTATCATAAAATTGAATTCTTTAACTTGATCATCGCGAATTACGAAGTTCTCAGGGGTTGAACAGTATAAAGGTAAATGTCAATACACAACTCTCCTGTTGTAGAGTGTTCGAAGCGAATAAAAAGGAACAAGGAGTATATTATATATTTAGATAAATTAAATTAGTAAAAAAGTTAATAATCTTAATTTGGTGTGGAAATCAGTCCATAGACTTACATCTTAGCGAGAAAAAAATAAGAAAATCCAATTCGTCTAACGCGAAGGGCATGAAAATCTTAACTTCGACAGCTCAGTCAATAGTCACTTCTTCTCTTCCTAATCTGCGTGAAGTGAACTTTTTGCCGGCGAGCATGTTCAACTAAAGCAATTTTCAATTCAGTGTCGAAATAAATCCGGCATTGAATTGGTTAGACCGTCCTTTGAGAAGATTTCTCATTTTCCGAGCCTTGTTTGTGTGTCTTAAAACGTGTTCCGTTCAAGTTTTACCTGTTACTCTTATCGATTTGTGACGTACAGACGTAAACATGAAAGTTTGTTACAAACAATACAAGATGAATGATCTTTTACAACGAAGAAATGTGAAATGGTTTCCTAGTGGTTCATAATTTTTTTGTAAAAGACAGATGTCCGTTGGTATAGTCCGGGGCATAGACTGTTTCGTCTATACCATGACGTCATTAAACATGTCGTTACGTTCCAATTTTGAAACATTTAGGCTTGCCCCACGGTTCAGTCCCCCATTTTTGTCTCTAATATTTATGGCCCTAAGAGCCCAGTTCACTTGATATGGCGAAGAAAGAGCTTCGCGTCAAGAGCAGTTTGAATGGTGTCGGTTGAAATGTGTAGGAGAAATCACTAAATTCCTGAAGGTCTGTTTCTTTTTCGTTTCAGCTCATTAATTATCATATCTCCTTTTTGAGAACACTGTGTCCACTTTATGACAAAGGACTGTCAAGTAAGACAGTCTGAAAGAGCGTTCGCTTTAATTTAAAATAATATCGACCAGGGTTAAGAGGAAATTCATCCCAAATGGTTTTGCTCGGCATTTAAACGAATACTTTATCAAGTCCCGGAAAACTCAGATCAACAAGAAATTATTTCGACCTCAAACGATTCTTTTTTGTGAACATCTCATCATGAAGAAGACTACCATTGTTAGGGCGCGTTCTTCACATCAAGCAAGCAAACAAGGTGGAGATAAAAATTATATCGTTTCTGGAACATACTTCTCCTTCAGCTACCTTGGAATTGCATATCGGTTCAGAAAATATACCACAACTCAAATCAAAGGAATGAGCGTTTTTAGGCAAAATCAACTAACAGTTGTGTTAAATGTGCAAGTTTACCCTTGGTATTTCTAGTTGGCGGAGTTCCATTGTAACAAAAAAGAAAGTTTTTTTGTTTTCTCTCGAAATACGTGTTTTATCTTCGTTCTTTGTTTATTTTGGGGATATTCCCTTGACGGACGATACTTCCGTAATCAATGGAACAGTCATCACAATTTTTGTTCCCAGCCAGTCTTCTTCCGATATTGCAGACCCTGGAACAAGCATTGGATCATATATTGCACACACTGGATAAAGTAATTTATCTGACTTTCGTTTAGAAGATAACAGATGCTCTGAAAAACAAGTCAAAATTTACAGTCATTCCTCCGTCCTGTTCTAAACATTATTCTCATTAATGAACATGTGCTTTTCATTTTTTTTTAAGCGATAAAATACTGTCACAAACAAAGTCTGTCGGATGAGACAATGGAGCTCTACATGTCTTGTCATAAAAATTCCTCTAAAGGTGAACTTAACCGAACACCTTACTGACTTTCTTGTAGATTCCCCTTAAAAGGACAGTATGGGAATTCATCTGTCATTGATTGTGGGGATATTCATCAGTTATCGAAAAACTTTCCTGATTCTTCTGTTCTCATTCAAGCAGCTTCTGTTTTAAGTTCTCCAGATTGTTCCTTGTTGTCATATTTATCCGTGATGTTTTGTTTTTTCTGTTGCTCTCTAAGCCACTGCCTGTAGTCACTGACATTCTTAATACTTTCCCCATAGTAATCATCTTCAAATTTACTATTTGATGAAGCTCTTCTGGCTGCAACTCTTTCCAAGAAATCAGCTTCACGCTACAAAACATAGACAAAAAGCTGTCTCTTCACATTTTTTCTTGCTCAAGGAGACATAAATCTATACAAGTAAAGTCCTGTCCCCGATTGATCAAAAGATGGATAATGCTATCCAAAGGATAAATCCCTTTCTGGTGGATAACGTAGTCGGTTTAGGTCCTCTTGCTCATAACAAACATTTTAATTCCAATCCAAAGACTGATTAAACTTGTTCAACATTCTATTTTTCTGCCTTCCTAAACTCACCCTTGTGGTCAAATCACCTTTGTAACAAACACATAACTTATGCCCTGCATGGGTTAGGGTGGGGTGGGGTGGGGTGGGGTGGGGTGAGGTGGGGTGGGGTGAGGTGGGGTGGGGTAGCTATCTACCTCTTATATACAGAATTATATCATATCAATAAACAGTTGAATCTGTATTAACTTTTTAACTCCCAAGATCTGATTGTTAATTCTCCCCTCTAGCTGCTACACATTGCCTTGTAAATTAGTTACAAGAATTTAGTGTTAGATCAAGATAACAACTTTGACCTGACACATTTGAGTATTCTCATTACCTGTTTTCTGAATAGTGCATGGATATTGTAGGGAGAAGTTACTTGTTAATCACTTCTGGGAGTTAACCCTTTAACTCTCAGATCAAATTAGTACTTCTCCTTACTGTCAACCATACAATTCTTATAATGTTAGTTCAGAGAATTTAGTATCAGATCAACTAATTATCCCCAAAATGGTTATATTTCTTTATTCTCATCACTTGTCTGGTTGATATTGTATTGATACTGTAGGGAGAAATTCTGTCTTGGTCACTCATGAGAGTTAAAGGGTTGAGCAGTTGACCACAGGGAATGATGG